AAATATTAAATGCTTTATGTGATGGTAATCTGGAAGCTAAATGTGCAACTTGACTTCCTATTCTACCAAGATTTCCAATTGATTGAACTTCACCTTCTTTTTCAGTTCTAGAAGTAAATATGAAAGAGAAAGTGTATCCTGCATCACATAAAGCTAGGATTTTATACCCTTCTGGTGTTGGTTTATTTTTTAATCTAAAGGTATGTGCACTTCTGCCACAAAATTTTATAATCATTTCATCTACAGAAACATTAGATGATGGAGTGAAAATGGATTGCGATATTGTGTTTATATGGGATGCTAATGGTTCAAGTTTAGAATACCAAAATGGATGAGCCTCCTCTATGTTTGAAATATGTAGGAAGTTTTTTATTTTTTCAAATTTTCTAATCTGCATATATGATGCAATGGGGTGTATTGGCATTTTTGTATCCTTATTCCAAAGGTCCCGAATTGATGGTGTTTTAAATAAACCTGCATAAATGATTATTCCTAGCCAAATGTGCAAGTCAAACAAGTCAATGTCTATCCATAAGTTTCCGTTTTTACTTTTACCATAGATATTGGTATTGCTTACAATTGTCCTCAAAATAGTATTTGTAAAAAATAATTTAAAAATTTGGATAGGATTGACAAGATCAAGATTGTTAAATTCGTATGGCAAATTTGTTTCAGAATCATGCAATGGTAATTGATGATTAAATTGATTAAAATATGGTGGATCTGGAAGATCAATTTGTTGTGTGTCTCTACCACCTCTAGTTCCTTCTCTTCTTCCACAGTTGCTTCTGATTTCTCTACTGCTCCTAATTTTACTAAAACTTGAAGTTTCACCTTCATCATCCTCGCCATCTTCATTATCATTGATTGTTTCTGGATCATTAAAATCTTCAGATAATTCATTATCATAAAAACCACCCAGCCTTCTTGTAATACTAGCAATATTATATCCATTGCTGGGATCGTTGGAATCTTCAAAAATATTAATATTTTGTTCAGGATTCATTTTGATTTTTATTAAAAGTAGTTTTTATTGTTAAATTAAAATTTGACTTTTATTAAAAACAATTATTTCAAGATTAAAAATAAATTGTTAAAAATTGTTTTATTTTTTATTCAAATATTGAGTTTGATTTTCAAATAAATAATTTGAGTTGGATTTTATTTGTCTGAAGGTCCTGGTATTTATAAAAAATTTAGATCAAAGTTATTTACAATTTTCAGGAATTTAATTCCTTCAAGTAATACTCATAATTAATAACTAATATGGGATCACCCATAGGAGAGAATGCTTTTTCATTACCATTTCCATATTTAAGACAGTAATAGTATAAATGTCTTTTCCGTATGTATTTACTAATATTAATATTAATATTGAAATCGAAAATACATTTATTTCTATTAATATATTCCATATTTTATTATGTATATTTTCCAAAACACAAAAATATTGATATAATGAGTCCCACAAGCAGTTAATTAACAATGATGGTTTTAGAAACATTCTTTAATTAGTATTGCATATAGGATTTCAAACTCCATCGGAATTTCATTTTATTATAAAATGATCAGCAAAGAAAACTTTTTTGTTTTTACACATGTTATTTCTTTATTTGTAATATGTAACCCCAAAATACATTTTTTTAATAGAAGTAGAGGGTTTTGAATATCATTTATGAAATAAGAAAGGTTGTGGTGAGACTGCAGGAAAATATCTTTTTTTATAATTTTTGAGTCACAATTGTAAATTGTGTCCAGATTTGGACGCAATTTCATTTAAGGGATAAATGTTATAATTTGAATTAGAAATTTTACTTCATTAAACTACTTATTTTTTCCTCTTTTTTACAAATTAAAACCATTCTTTTATTATTACATTTCATAAAATGTAAATGTTTTTTCAAAATTTTAACTTTGAAGTTAGTTATAATAGTAATACGCAATAATATTGATAGTATGCTTGAGCTGTCTTTGGTGTCTGAGTTTGAAATAACATAGGTTTATCAATATTAGTACTTAAAGCGACCTTTACATAACACATAAGACAGGTTTTGATACATATTTTGTAAGCTTTAATTTTGTTTCTATTTTTATCACTTTTAAATCTTCAAAGAACTTCTTTTATTGTTGAATCATGATTGTTCTTTAAATAATGCATCCTTATCAATTAATATTGATATTAATCAAAAAATGTTGTACGAAAAAATTGTTTGTTTCACGTCATTCATTCAATCATTCTTCAAGAAAATGCAAAAATGATGTTCCTCAACAACAAGTTGTTTGATCATGGAATTTGCAATGGGTCATGATAATCAAAATTACTGATCCTCAAAACGTTGAAGTGACCTTTCTGACAACCCACAATACCACAAAGGTGACTGTGCAAAAAGAAACCACTTACTTTGATATCAATGGAAGCCTTGCATCAAGGCAACAATTTCCTCTGATAATGCCTTCTCTCTTACCGTGCACAAAGCCCAAGGATTGACATTAACTCACAAAACTGTCAACATTGATGAAAAAATGTTTACGCCTGGTCAAGTATACGTAGCTATAAGCAGTGTGCCTTCTTGGGATTTGCTTGAGATCTTGGGTTTCAACTTTTCTTGTATAAAATTGATCAATATACAGCGAATGATATAATAATTCTTTATTCGTCTTGGGACACACATTTTTACACTTGATAATCCTATTTTATCATTATCATTATTGCTGCTTGTATCAAGTGTTTTCACTTGTATCAAGCGTTTTCACTTATGTCAAGTGTTTTTAATTACATCAAGTGTTTTTACTTACATCAAGGGCTTTTACTTTAGTCATATCGTCAAAAATGGCCCTGGTGAGAAGCTACTTTTAGTCAAATACTTTAATTACGCCAATGACTAAAGTTAAAAGCCTCATCATACATCATTACTTTCAACCTTTTCCTGAGTCGCTTCATAAACTTTGACACGAGAATATTTTTTTATTTGAAGTACACACATTTAATAAATCCCATGCGCAAAATGATCGTTTGTATCCATAATGAGTAATTTCATGGATATTGGAAGATTCTTTTCATGGTCTCCATCTGATCCTTTGAGCAATCGAACAAGGTTTCTTGCACCAAGAGAAACATCTACGATGACAATGATAGTGATATTTTTTTTTTGTTTCGAGCGACATATACATTTTCATTATCTTTGTTAATAGTTTTTGATGGCTCTAGTTCCAGGACAAGTAAGAGAGGACTGTTTACGACAAATGCATTGTCATTGTGGGGACGAATCATAAAATCAAAGATGATCCTGTCTTTAGGTACATGCTTACCAGTTTCTTGATTATTTTTGGCATTTCACGCATTCGCAAAGAGAAAGAGCTCTTACTTGCAATATTATCAATCATCCGCCTACTTTGCAGATCAAAGGTGAGTTTTTTGGTGATGTCAGTCGGCTAATGAATTTTTAAAACAGCTTGGCTGGCTGATTTTCTTAAAAACTATCTTTTGAAAATAAAATCAGAGGTAGATTTTATTTATTTAATATTATTGTGAAGATCCACTTGCAAGCAAGAATTTACTTGGCAATACTAGCAAACTCAGTACCATCCGGGGCTGGCAACGTAAAGGGGTTAAAAACTTAATTTAGTAATAATTAACTAAACTTGACTTAACATATGACTAAATAGTTTAGTCAGTTAGCCAAGTGCTCATTTGAGTTACGCAGCCAGCCCTGGTACCATCTGAGAGGTTGTTTTTATCAGCTGGAAATTCATTTATAAAGAAAAGAAATAGACTTGGTTTAAAAGAATATTCAAAAGTTTTTGAATGATTCTTATTTAGATTTTTTGATAAAATTTTTATAATTGTAATTATAAAAATATTTATTCTTTCAGTATTTATCCAATATAAAAATTTATATAAGTTCTTACCTGGCTTAGCTGGCTAATCCGGCTAAGCCAGCTAAGGTTTTTTAACGGCTGATATCGCTCGCTATTTTTTGATTTTATAAATATAAAATATATTTGTGTAATGTGTACGCCTCTTTATTATCAGTCAGTCAAGATTTCACGCGATCGACATGTCTACTGTCATAGCTATGTAAAATTTTTGTGAAACATGTCAATTTTTACTATTAAAATCGAAAGAACTTTTTACTCGTCACTAGTACATCCACATGTAATTTTTAACAAGGAACGTGATATTTTGTACACACATTCTTTGAGATTTTATTTTATTCCTTGTAAAATTTTAGATATGGTTTCATAAAAAAACGATAAATAATTAGCAGTTAGAAGTTATACATTTTTAAATAAAATATTAATAAAATGAAAACTAATAATAAGTAGTTGATTATATAATTTTTTAATATTGTAATTATATTCTTACTGATAAACTTAGCCTTTTGTTTATAAAAATAGATATTGCAAGACTCATTAAAGGATACATACATACACGTTTTTAAATAATGAATGATAAGAATGGTTGCAAAATGTTGTTCCAATAATTACAACACTGCCCTACAAAAAAGAATAAGGAATTAATGTATGTTGAATACATTTTTAGTATTAAGAAAAATATATGATATAAATAATGAAAATAAATTCTCTTTGTGATTTAATATTTTTTTTTTCTTCTAATTGTGTAATATAATATTTATAATTACTACATAACATTGTGACCATCAAATGGAGAATTATGCTACAAAGGGTTCCCTCAGCTGCTATCTGACAAAACCTATTGCTAACCCAATGCCTATTGTTGTGTAAAGCAAGAAGACAGGATGGTTATCCCTGACAAAACCTATTGCTAATCAATGTCTATTGTCATGTAAAGCAAGAAGACAGGATGGTCATCCCTGATATGGAATGGTCACATAAATTTTCAATATGTGATGTCCATAGGATTTGTGAAATACTGACAAATACTGAAAACATATCATGATGAGGAAGCTAGGTGCAATGGAATACTTTTGCTTCAGTACCTAGTAACCAGATATTCCACTACTTCTCTTCTGCACCCTATGAGTACCATCTAAGATCTGTGAAACTGATGTACTAGCTAAACAAGAAAATTGACATTGAAAGTGATGAGAGGGCAAGTAATCCTTGCTGTAATGAGTTAGATTCATCATTAAGATTTTGAGCATCTTGAGCTTACAATGAGGTTTCATTTAAAGAAATACTTTCAAGCAATTCTCCTTTTTTTACTTCCTCATAAATTATTTATTTTTAGTATAGGTTTGAGAACTAACATTATTTAAAGATGATGGATTTGATGAATAAGTGAAATAAGTGAGTTGGTCTGATAAACAAAAGGAAAAACAGATTTATCTCCAGTTCAGGATTTATTCACCTAATTAATTATTTTCTTGCAAGAAACCTCTCCTATTAAAGCTGTGTCAACTTCAAAAAAAGGTTCTTCTATGCCATTGATGAATTGAATAGAATTGGTGTAATACAAATGTGTCCAGAGTCACATTGTCATATTTTTCTGTTTAATAATATTTTCAAGGAAGACAAATTATCATCAACTCTTGTTACAAATTGAAGCTGACTACCATTTGACATTTCAATGAATATAAATTTTATTTTTAATTAATTATGACAAAAACATTTCATCATGTATCATTTAATCATGACATATCAATAACTCATTTTTGACATTCAACTTTAGTAATTGTCAATTATTCATCATTTATCATTCTATTTTATTTTATTTTATTGGACAAAATCATGTTATTTGTAATACTTTAAGAAGTATAAATATGTTTGAAATCTTCTTTAGTGAAAAAAATTAATCAATAAAATTAAATAATTGATCTTATAACACTTTGGTAATAAAAATAACACTTTCATTAATTGATAAATCTGGCATGATTGATTGATTTCTGATGATTAATAGTTTGGCCAACATTTAATTATTAGTTAGGAACCCCTTTATTAGTTTTACTATATTGCTTGTAGGGACGCCTCAAGTAGTGTTGTATATGGTGATTTTGGTTTAGTTTGAACATTATTTGGTGACTCTCCAATAAAGTAGAGTTTCTATTCGTAATACAAATTTTTGTTCAAACTATCCAAATCATTCGTTATTCGAATTGTTATCATTCATTTATTATTCAAATTGTATCATTCGTTTATCATTCAAATTGTTATCATCATTCGTTTATTATTCAAATTGTCATCATTTGTTTATTCGAATATTTGTTTTGCTTGAATTATTCATTTTATTTCGTTTATTCATTTTATTATTCAAATTGTTGTCATTCGTTTATTCACACACTATTTGTTTATTCATTTTATTTTATTCAAACTATTTGAATTATTATTATTCGTTTATTTGTTTTATTTAAATTATCAATTGAATTATTTTATTTTATTTGTTTATTTGAATTATTTGTTTATTTGTCTTATTTGAATTATCAAATTATCGAATTATTTGTTATTTATTTTATTTGAATAAACCTTCAATGTAATTCAAATACTCAAATTCATAGCAAGTAAAACAAATAATTCAAATAAACCCTTATTTGAATAGAAACTCTAACCAAGCAGTATATTTGTATGTAGTGATTTTAATTTAGTTTCATATTTGATGATTCCAATAACTCTGATCGCATGCTTGCAATATTTATTACAGTTTTATGACTTTAGGATGTCAATGTTGAATTGTTGTAGTTCAGGCAAAATTTAAATTTTTTTTATTAATATATTTGTGATGTTGTTGTATGTGAAATTGAAATATTATGGAGTGGGGTGAAATTCTGATTGGCTAATTTGAATTTCACACTATTGTGAGATTGTAAACCGTGGACCAACCAATTGACCGTTAATATTGACCAATTAGAACGAACTTACTACGGAGGTCATGTGATGCGCTGAATATTACATCACGATTAACAATCATCTTTCTATATTTATTGCAACGGTTGCACGTCATGTTACACATGTAGATCATTACATCATTTCTATTTTTAACTTATTTTATGACATAATTATTTACTTCGAATTATTAATCAAATTATTTGTAATAATGACTCATAGGATTAGTAATTATGAGTCATAGAATTAGTAATTAGCAATTAGTAAGCTAGTATTACAGAAAATAGGATTAATAAGCATATTTTATTGGACAAAGCATTGTAAAGGTCATGTTATTTGTGATACCTCAAGAAGTATAAAAGAGCTTGGTTTTAGACCAAGTGAGAATCATCATGTTCATGATATAATAGTAATAACATAATAATAACCTTGTAACAACCTTATATCACTAATAAAGACACATAGCACTTTTAAAATGATTAATCTAATAAACCTTTAACAAACCATTGCTGAAAAGCATCTTTCACCTTAATTAAAAGCTATTCTAACTAGGGGATGCCTTAGCTAGAGCAGTTTGCAAAGATGGAGGCCTGGAAATTGAGAACCCTTAGCTGTGTGTGAAGATAGGGAGATTTATATATTGGACTTTCATATTCTTTTATATTTTTATCAGACATATCATGAGCTGTATTTTGCATGCTCACAATGAAAATCTGCATCATATAATAGATCAGATACAAATATAAATGAAAGCACATACTTGCAGCACTTAGTCAATCCAATTATAAATTTTTTAGTTTATGATATTGATAAGATTGAGTCTAGATGGTAAATATTACTCACAACTTTAATTTTAGTATTGGTTTGTTATTATTTTAATACTAATAACATAAATACTTTAGGAGTGGTTGTAAGTCGGAATCTACAAAACACAGGAGCCTTGATAATATCAACTTGAGAAGGTTTCCTGACATGCTTTTTTATCAAGAGAAATTTGGATATAGATTTAAGTATGAATTTCTCTTTTCTGAAGTGAGTAACGGACCATGGTTAAGAACTCCAGCACATTATAGCCATGTAAAGGAAGATAATTATAGATTGAATAGATTCTTAAAAAATGCCTACAAATATACACATTCATTTTTAAAAGATAATTATGTGCAAAATATGAATGACACTTTGGATCAGATGAAATTCATATCCATGAGGAAATTATGGAAATTGATATTGTACAAAGAGACTTCACACCATTCTTGGTGGTTAGAAAATTTTGTATAATTGAACTTCCTCTGAAAAATTCATCAGATACAAACAGATTGGTAAATACAATTTCATTGTTATGTGAAAGATTATTAGCTCTTAATTGTATTATTAAAGAAAATATATGCAAAATTAATCAATTTAATATTGACATAGATAAAACTTACACCACTCCACCAGATAAGGGAACTCGAATTTAGAGATGGGCTCTGAAGGAAGTATATTTACTACACTCAACACCTAATTAAACATATATGTTATGGATTTATTATTGATTGACTAAGGATCAGTGTATTTAACACTATAATAAAAAAAATTTATTATTTATTATTAATATAATAAAAAATTAACATTAATATTAATATGAAAATTTTTTAAATTTGATATCAAAACAGTCTTTGTTCCTTTACTTTATTAAAATGGGTTTTTTGGGGGAGGCAAAATCAAAAGGTAAACATTGTAGTGTAAAATAGTAAATTATAAATCACGGGAACGAACATATAAATCGGAAATGATTTACATGTATCACGAAGTGAAAAT